CTAAAATAATTAAAGGAAAAATTGAGGGTCGTTTTATACTCAGAAGTAAGGGGGGGGGGGAATCAAAGCGCTTTGATCCCTGCTTTCCCCCTCCATGTTTTGCAAAGAAAATGGAGGAGGAAAGCAGAAATTGCTTTCCCCCTCCATTTTCTTTGCAAAACATGGAGGAGGAAAGCTGCTTTTTGCAATGAAAATGTAGGGGGAAAGCAGAAATCGCTTTTCCCCTCCATTTTCCTTGCAAAAACATGGAAGGGGGAAAGCTGATTTTTGCAATGAAAATGTAGGGGGAAAGCAGAAATCGCTTTCCCCCTCCACTTTCTTGCAAAGAAAAAAATTTGTGGTTAGAAAAATTGGGGGCCTCTTATTCATGGAAAATATGGTACATTCTAAAAATACAAGTGCTTATCACTTAAAAAGTCACAATCAAATGGCAGAGTATATAAACCAAAATATATAAGATATATCAAGTACGTAAGAGTATATAAAGCAAAATTCATTTCTTAGCTTTTAAACATACAGTGGGGGCTTGACTTGAGAACTTAATCCGTATTGGAAGGCAGTTCTCAAGTCAAAAAGTCTGTAAGTCAAGTCTCCATTGACCTACAGTGCATTGAAAACCGATTAATCCCATAACAGGCCGTTTTTGTTCCATTTTGGTTTTTTTCTGGTCTGTAAGTCAAATCTCAGTCTGCAAGTCAAACCTAAATTTTGCGGCCAGAGAAGTCTGTAACTCAAAAAGTCTGTAAGTCAAGCCGTCTGTAAGTCAAGGGTCCACTGTATTATAAAAAAACACAATTACTCTAAATGTGCATCCAGCCATACACAGTAAAACAATTTATAACAGAAATTTCTATTGCTTCTACAACTTTTGTAAAAAAAAATTCCTGTAAATCAGAATCTGGCAGTTGCCACCATGATGATAAGAATTATTGTTTTGACTAACAGGCGTTCAGGCTTGCTAAGCTAGCCCAGGGTGTAAATCACTTGAAGGAGTAAAATAGGGGCAGAGCACATTACTGGAACTGCAAAGCCACCTGCAGGACATTTAACACATTGTAACATTATACAAATTACAAACCAATTATTTCAATACCTTTCCAATTCTCTCCTTTGTTTCAGTTTTTTTTTAAAAAAAATAATTTGTAAAACTGTCCAATTGTCAGGCATGAAAGAGATTCTTTTGCAAGGCAATGTTATTGTACAGTAACCCTGCTTCCACAATTGGTTGGAGAGTTGGCAGATTGTTTTGCACTGGCTTTCAGTAAATGGCTGTTAAAACCTTTTTTAAAAAGTTTACATTTTCAGGGGTGCCCTGAAATTTCAGCACTCTGTATATAGTAGGACCCCCATATCTAATGGGGATAGTTTCCAAGCCCCCTGTAGATACTGAAAATTGTGGCTAATAGCAAGCACTATATATATAAGGAGAACCTACTGTAGTCAAAAGTCCATATCTTGACACTTAAGCTCTTATCAGCAAGCAATGGTGAGAAATTCTGGGAGTTAAAAGTTCAACAAATCTTGAGGACACACTTTGCTCATCGATAAAGACATTGATAACTTTTTATGGCCCATCTATCCACCCTGTTTTCTAATCCATCTGGGAAATGTAAATACAGGAGTGCCTTGACTTGCAAACATCTTGACTTGCGACCAATTCGAGTTATGACCAGCTCCTGTCGCAAAATTTTGCTTTGACTTGGGATTGGCACTTTGAGATACGACCGGAAAAAAAAGGCTCCCTCCCTTCTTTCCTGCCCTTTTTTAACCTAAGAGGTCATCTTAGGTTAAAAAAAGGTCTCCCCCAGTGGACGGATTAACCGATCTGCATTAGTTCATTTAATACTTTGAGACACAACAAAAGCCTTGAGATACAACAACAACAACAACAAAACCCCTGGCCAAAACAGATTCCTCACGTTTCAGTGTATTCCTATGGGAAATGGTGCTTTGAGTTACGACCAACTTGAGTTACAACCATCATCCTGGAACTAATTAAATTCACAACTCAAGGCACCACTGTAAACCTGTTAGTCACATAGTGAAACGATCACATGACTACTAGCCACATGATAAATTCTGTATCAGTGAGTCTATTCCCACATTCTCAACAGGGCCAGAGTGAGGCAGAAACCTTGGGGGGGGGGAGGAGAGATATTGAGCATAGAATGGCAGCAGTGGGCTGGAGGGTGGAGCTAGGTGGATCATGTGACCGGCTATCTTGAAGTAGAGTAGAAGACTTGGGCTCATTATCACCGTAATATCTAACCCAGACTGGTCAACTTCTAAACAGGAAATGAGAGTAGGCACTAGTGTGGCCTCTGCCTCAGGTAGCAAAATCTGTTGGGTCAGCATCTGTTAATACTTTCTTAACATTGTTTTTCATATATTCTTTTCAAGAATATATGAAAAACAATGTTAAGAAAGTATTAACAGATGAGGATAGAGAAATAATGGAGAGAACAATTACAGAGGAAGAGACTGATTATTATAAATAAGTTAAAGTTAGAGAAGACACCTAGCACAGATGGATTAGGTCCAGAGTATTACAAGACCTTAAAAAATTCTTTATACAAAGGATTTATACAATGGTATATTAAATGGAGAAGGAATTCCCTAGTCTTTGAAGGAATCATTAATAGTTTAATTTTAAACTATTTATAGGTAAAAACTCTATAAATATGGAATCTTACAGGCCGATTTCACTGATAAATCAAGATGCTAAGATATTCACAGCAATTTTGGCAGCAAGATTAAAAAATTTCATAGGGAAATATATTGAGAAAGATCAAAACGGATTCATACAAGGTAGAGATGTCAGATGGAATGAGAAAGGTGCTTAGTCTAATGCACCTGGCAAAAGAATCAAAATGTAAAGCAAGAGTGGTTTCCTTAGACATTTTTAAAGCCTTTGATTCAGTTGAATGGGATGCATTAAAATCTTGATTAAACAGGATTTGGCACCCAATTTAGACAAATAATCCAACAACTATATTCACAGAACTCTGCAAAAATAATAATAAACAATGGTATGACTGACTCATGGCTGAGGAATGAGACAGGGCTGCCCCTTACCTCCAAATCTATTTACATTGGTAATAGAACTGCTGGCACAAGTAATCAGAAATGATAGTTCAATTAAAGGCATAGATACCAGAGAGGATAAAATAAATCTCTTTGCAGATGATAAGGAGTATTGATTTTATTGATTCTGTCCTTCAGATTTTTTGTATTTCATAAAGGCACTGAATTCATATTTTCAGGATCTAAAAAACTAAGCACATAATTCTACACAGAAGTGTATTTTATTTGGCTGCACTGAATATTTGGTTGCAATGCCTCTGATCAACAATATTGGATGTGAACTTTCCCAGAGAAATATGAGCCTTTTGTTCCTGGTGCACAGATGGCTGTTGCTCACCAGAGGCCACATCCACCTCAATTAAACCTCCAGAGGTTGGTATCTGTGTGAGAGAGGAGACAGCTTCTTGTCCAGGCCTTTTATTTACTACATGCACAGATTGTAGGTTGTAAATGTGAATTGCCTGTTGGACATTTGGTAACAAAGAAATCAAGATCATGAAAATGGAAAGTTAATACGTTGCTCCATTACATTAATAAACATTGCCCTGACAAAAGACAGCATGTGGAAATATTATTGACAGCTGTAGTGGAATCCTGCACTTTAAAAAACAGAACAAAATAGTGTGCTGTGCTCATCTCTGTGGGCACCTTCTATTGTTTGATCATTTTATAGTGTATATTTTGCATTTAAGTTTCTGGAATGGACTACAAAATGATAAAAGAAGCAGTTACTCTAACTGATTCACAGCTCTGGAGGGCCAAATTCCTTATGCTAAGGATGGAAAGAATGCAAAAACAAATTATTATTTGCCTCAGTTTTCTTAAAGAGAACTTATGAAGACTAGCTAGCCAAAAATAACTGGGTAAAATGTGTTTTCAATTTAAGGGACCCTAAATATTTTCTATTGCTCTGGATGTCTGAAATACAAGGTATCATTGGCAAGAGTATTTTACTGCAGCTCCACCACATAGTCTTTCCTATTGAGTAGAGTGCAATTTATTGTAACATGCACTTACACCAACACTTTCTCTCTTGTAAATGTCAATTCCCATTTACAGTGACCCTAACAGTTTCTGAGGTATGTGAAATATTCAAGGAGTGGTTTTTCCAGTGCTCCTTCTGTGTGTTTCCATGGTTGCGTGGGGATTTCAACCCTATGTCCTAATCCAACACTATCTACTACACTAAACTGGCTCTCAAAATACATGCAAGGATTGGAAAGAGGAACACATGGATGGCGGAACATACAGGGTTTAAAGTTTCTTTGCAAAAAATAGATGAGAGAAGTGGAATAAGATAAAAAGAACCTGTAAATACAGATGCCTACTGTTTACTGTTAGCTTTCATGACTTTACACCAATGGTATGCTAGAACCTTCTCTACTCCTCCATTCCTTTCCAGGCATCTCATTTTCTTTGACTTCTGTAATTTTCCCCCTTGTTTCCCTTTCTATTTTTCTTTCCTTCTTTCCTGTTTATGTCATTTCTTCACTTACTTCTGGTCTTCTCTTTGTTTTGATTAGGATGAAAGAAGGCAGGGCAAGTGGTATTCACAGAAGTGGGTATGCTGTACAGGTTGACTGCACAGTACAAAACAGTGAAGGAAACATGGCTCCAAATCCATCTGCTAATCATAACTAAAATAAACTCATTAATTTACATATAGGCTGCTTTAGTATCCAGCAGCAGATTCACTCTATCTATTCTAATTAGGCATGGCACAACTGTATTTAGGGCTCATAGTGTAGGCCTAGTATTGTGTGGATAGCATAATTCCGAATGTGTAACCAGAGAAATATTGGCTAACATGCCATTCATTTTTCATTTCAATGTTGTATATTGTGAAAGAATACAAGGAAAGGCTGGTAGGTTACAAATAGATTTATTAAAGCAAGAACTATTTCTGATTTTTGTAGTATGAATTATAGACAAATACTCCAAAAAGGTATTTTTCTCAATAAATATATAGTCTTCCCTGTAATGTTTTTACCTTTGTAAAAATAAAATCCTTGCATAGATGTAAGAGGGCACAGTGAAGTGCCAAAATTTCTTTACTAGAAAAAGCTGCCCTTTACTAAATTCTTTAGTTCTAGTAAAACTGCTTTTGTTGTAATTTATTAATATAAAAAGACACAACTATAATACAATGCATTGGGACAAATTAGATTTAGCTATGCTGGCCACACACACTCTGAAATAATGGAAAACAATTCTAAAATGAAGATAATGCCACTCTCCCATTTAAGGACACATTTGTCATAATGAAAACTCTGGAAATAACAGAAGATATAGCCAAATTAGTTTGCCTGCAAATCCTGCCTTGGCTCAGGTACAGAAATTCTGGAATACATTGGCCCCTTCAAGCCAGTTTCGGAAGCAATTGAGCCCTCTCTCCCGTATTTGTTTTCTTCCTTTATCAGTAATGACTTCCCCAGTTTGTTTAACAATCACAAGTTTAGGAATGGCTGTAATGTTGTATCTCTTCTTCAACTCACTGTAAAAAAAAAAGATGGGAGAAGTTAAGCAGATTGGTATCAAATCTATAAGCAAACAGAAAACACCTGAACAACTTACTTGATGCTTAAGTATAAAGCTCTTCAGGGTTTGGGATCACACTACATGTTGGAGCGTCTCTCCACAAGGTCATGGTCTGACCCTCTAATATTCCCAGGCTATGCTCCTCTGAGTAGCCACCCTAAAGGAGGCATGGAAATTATCCATGAGATATCGGGCCTTCTTCATCGTGGCACCGACTTTGTGGAACCAGCTCCTGGTGGAGTTATGCCTGCCCCCCTCCCTGTTATCGTTTAGAACGGAGATCATCAAACTTTTTCCTACCGCGGACCGGCTGAGTCTTTGAAGGAGGCAAGGCGCCCCCTCGTGCTCTCGGACGCATGCACGAAAGGTTGGGGGAACTCTTGACCACCCCATCACCGCCACCAGGAGGCCAGCAGCTGGAGCACACGGCCATGCTCAGCCTCCTGACTCTGGGCAACCCCCGATGCCGGGCTGCAAAGACAGACCTCCCCCCTGCACGCATTCCCCTCCCCACAGCTGCTTTGCCTGCGCGGGCGCATGCCTGAAAGGGTGAGGGAACGCTCACACTGGTGCTGGCACACGTGTGCGTGCGCAAAGCAGCTGTGGGGAAGGCAGTGCATGTGGGGGGCGACGGGAAGTCTGTTTTCACGGCCCGGTTGGGCTCAAGCCACAGACCAGGGGTTTACGATCTCTGGTTTAGAAGGCAACTTAAAATGCTGCTTTTCAGAGAGGCCTTCCACATTGACCCCACTTGATTTTATGCCTCCTGTTCTGCTACCAGATAGAGAATTTGCCTTTGGTGCCATTTGTTTTTATATTGTTAAATGTTTTAATTTCTTCTTGTTTATTTGTTGTTTATTACCACATTTTATTTATTGATCAAACCACCCAAAACAGTGCATCACACTAATGGGGTGGTATATAAAGCAAAAAAGTAAAATGAATAGACACACTTGGTTTAAGCTTTTCAAATCCTCAAAAAATTAATGCTGATATTTCTAAAAAAACACACAAGCATCCATTTAATTATAAAAATATGAATCTTTTTTTTAAAAAAACTTGGTATTACATGGAAATTCTGATTTCTTCAAAAAGCTACATGCTTTGTCTGTAGCCAACAATGTTCTGCAAAATATTCAGTGCTTTTAAGACCAGAACTTGAAGCTCCATTAGCAGCACCTCCTTCTGCATACTTAATCAGAAGTAATTCCTACTGCATTTAGTGAGACATACCCCCAAATTACACGGACACGGCACTACAGCCAGAATGTGTGTCCCCAGACAAACCCTATTCTAGGTGTCCTATTTGGAGGGTTTAGATTTCACCAGCAATTTTCAAGATAAGGCCTGTTGCTCTACTTATAATCTTGAGATTTCAAAATGCAACCTTTTGCCTATATAAGCTAGTACTCAGTCTTGTAAAAGTGGTACAGTATATACTTTAGCCTGTTTCCTAAATGCAACCTTTTGCCTATATAAGCTAGTATTCAGTCTTGTAAAACTGTTTCCTACGGCTATTTTACAAATGCTTATTTCCTTGGAATATAGAGTGTATTACATATATTTATTTCATTTGAATCCCACCTTCCCTCTAATGCAGTGGTCCCCAAGCTTTTCCCAACTGTGGACTGGTTGGGGGGGGCTGACATGCTCACACAGGGGGCGTGTTGCACTTGCTGGGGGGGCAGGTGATCTGTGTCCGTGGCCCGGTCCTGCCTAGGCCGCGGACTGCTGCCAGGTTATGGACTGGGGGTTGGGGATCCCTGCTCTAATGCACTCAAGGTTGCATACAAGCATCTCCTTCTCTCCATTTTATTTTCACAATAACTGTGCAATAAGGTCAGATAAAAAGAGAGTAACTGGCTCTAGCCTTCATAAAAAATTTCACTTCTGAATGGACTCTTGAACTGGGCTTCCCAAGTTTCAAATCATGACTCTGAAAACTAAACCACACTGGCTCTAAGCACATTATATGCCTTAAAACTTGGTGTGTAATATACAGATAGGATCTTTCACCTAAATTACTAGGTTCTGTGCTAGAGGAAATGTTCTACTAGCCTGAATAAGTTTATGGCAGATTAACAGTGATCTCATATCATTTGTAGGGGCTTACCTTCTTCCCAATTTAAAAATGCACCCATCTGATACACCATTTCTTCCATAATATTACAGTGAACCACATAACATTTTTTTTTCAAATAACAACACTGTACATGCATCTAACCAATATCACTAGTTCCTGTGGCAGAGCACAGGAGAATATACAAAATAGGGAGGGTGGTGTCTTTGCAAAGTGAAAGGAGGATAAAAGAAAATAAGTAAAGACAGCACATTAAATCCAGACAAGTCAATGTACTGTATGTGATCAAGGACACAATTACATTTAAACTTGAGAAAAAACATGTGAGACTAGCTCCCTAATCAGTTTAAACACTTCTGGCTGCTTGCTGCATCTTAATATACATAAACATCTAGGCAGAAAAACTAATATTTATGAAGCGTCCTTAAAATATTGGTTGACCTATCTAAAAGCACATGCTACTTCACAGGGAACAGTCAAATATTGGGGAGAAAACAAGTCTCAAGTTCAGCCCATAGCATCTGCGAAAGTCTCAAAAGACCGAAAGACCTGGGGAGATTCTGCTAACTGAGATGGACATTGTTCATGGGCTCCCAGTCCAACTCAGCAAAAGCCAGCTTCCTACGTTGCATGTTTAATGAGAGGTCATGTGAGAGTTGATGCTATTAGGCAACTAGATGATCTCCATGTATCTCAACTACAATCTCCACAAATCCCTGCCACTGTGGTGAATGATCAGGGATTATGGGAGTCAGAATCTTTACCAACTATGATCATGAAATTACCATTCTGCTCCTTTCCCTGGTACAGCATAGAAAGAGAGTGGGAATGTCTTTTTTAAGAGAGGGGGGAAAGCCCCCTTTTTCTTCTTTCTGTGCGCTTGGGGGGGGGGAACAGAAAATGCTTCCATGTAATGGGATGAGATGGAAGATGCTATTCTCCTCCAAAGTGATCAACCTAAGGGGAGAACAAGTAACCAACTACATCAAGAATTAGTGTTCAGAGACAAACTCCAGATGAGATGTGGTTTAAATCAGGGGTGGAGAATCCTCCCTCCCCCACCTTTCCTGTTGAGGGTTGCTGCATTCTTCAGGGGCAACATGTCTGAGACTACTCAGTGACCAAAATCCTGTTGCTTAGCACAATAAATTGCACTAGAGTAGGCTAAATGACTGTAAGTCAACTCCATAAATTCTATTTATTCAAATAGGTCTCCCATAACTGTGACGCTATGCTAAGCAAAAGTTGTTACTGTATGTTAGGGCAACTTTTTCCCTCTAGAACTTGTAAAAATTACTGTTTGAGACCCTGACTTTCAGAATGCCCCAGGGAATATGGCTAGTGACTGAGGGATTCTGTGATTCAAAAAAGTAACTTTTCCAAGTTCTGGTGCAGTCAAGCCTAACTTCTCTAGAAAAGGGACCATCAAGGTCAGAGCTCAAAAAAAAATACAACTCCTAATCACCATGCTATCCAGACAATTTTGGGAGTTGCAGTCTAAAAATACAACTTTCCCAATCTGTTTCCTTCTCTCCCTCTCCTCACCACCACATCCCTACCTAATGAATTTTTGTCAGAGGGACAGATTGAAAAATCTCAACAACAACAACAACAACAACAACAACAACAACAACAACAACAACCCCAGCCACAAACCCAACGGAAGGAGAAAGCCTGAGCTTGCTTTGCTTAACTCCACCGGGAGGGACTTGTGGAGAAAAGCCGCTTGGGCTGCAGCTGTGAGAAAGTCAACTCCGGCTGAGAAAGTGAGAGATCAGGGGACTCGAAGGAGCTCCCTCGCCCAAATGCCATGAACGAATTAATAATAATAACAACAACAACAACAACAACAACAATAATAATACAGTGGTGCCTCACAAGACAAATGCCTTGCAGGACAAAAAATTCACAAGACAAATGGTTTTGGCAATGGGGTTGATGACTTGCAAGACAAATGTTCCTATGGCTGTGGTTTGCAAGACGAATGTTTTCCGTTTTTTGTTCCTGCCTCATGTTTGCTGATTTTTAAATGTTTTTCTATGATGTTAAAAAAGTTAAAGTTTTTGATTGAATTTTAAAAAATCATCTGCACTATATGTATGGCTTTAAAGAGCACTTAATAAACCCTTTGTAAACCAAATTTGACTTTGTTCTGACTTTTTTTTGCCCATAGGAACACATTAATTAGATTTCAGTGCATTCCTATGGGAAAACAC